TGGATGTCAACAGAGAAGTCTTTACAGGGAATCAGACTTACTCTGCTCACCTCTCTAGCTTGAACAGCACAAAGTCTGCCTCGACTATTGAGGCACCCCGGAAACAGCGGGTCACATAAGTGTGACAAACATACAAAAGAAGTAGAGGAAAATGACCACAGGATTAGGAAAGAAAAGGCACAGTTCCCTGCTGTAGTTCAGGCACAGTTATGAGCAAGATATTGTTGGATCAGCCCATTCACAATTCTACTTGCACTAGAACGAGAAATGTCCCCACTTTGGGAATGGACTAAACACACTTCAGGCAGTGTCACCGCCCGGAGGGTACAATAGATCTTTGTTTGATTGGGAGAGGCAAACCACACCAGAGCACCCACGCACATTCAAATATAAATATTTCTAACAAAAATAAAACAACAAGCAAACAAACAAACAAATAAAACAAAACTCACCAGCCAGCTGATCTCGGAGCTGCAGGTCCCGGGTGAAAGCCAGGAAAACAAAGGCCACACAGAGAAGGAAAAGGAAGGCGCTGAGAAGCAGCAGGTACTTTTCCTTTGTGCTCCACTGTCTGCACACGCCGCGGGCCGCCCGCTGACTGTCCGTGCGGGGAAGGAACTTGATCTGAGGGGATGACAGAAGCGGTACAGAAAATGAACAGCAGAAACGGTACAGACAATGAACAACAGAAACGACACTGACAATGAATAATTGAAACGGTACAGAGAATGAACAACAGAAACGGCACATACAATGAACAACAGAAACGACACTGACAATGAGTAATTGAAACGGTACAGACAATGAACAACAGAAACGGCACATACAATGAACAACAGTATAGACAATTAGGTTCAGTAGAGGTTTTACGGCGCTCACAACTCCATAAGGTCATATTATGAGCGCCAGAAGATTAGAGGTGTTACAAGGGAGTAACAAACATAAACAAGAAAAAGGGGAGATACGGATGGATGTTTGATAGAAAAGAAGAAGCAAACCACACCAGAGCACCCGCAAACCACCTACTGGTACAGACACTGAACAACAGAAACAGCACCGACAAGGAAAAAGACAGAAACGGTACAGACAATGAACGACAGAAACGGAACAGACAATGTTATACCATTAAAGTTTATTGGGACTTGTTGTCGTTAAACAGACTCATGTCGAAATAGTGCAATCGAAGACAGCAAGGATTTTTATTGCTTGTTTTATTATTGTTTTGTTTGTGTGTTTGTTTTACTTTTTTTTCGTTTTTGTTTCTTTTTCTCCTTGTTTGCTAGTTTTCTTGGGAGGGGGGAGGGGGGGTGCACAACATCTTTTACGATCATTTAAAAATATATTTATTCGGTGCGGATTTTACCGTAAAACATTGTACAATGGTGAAAAAAAACAACAAAACCAACGTAAATTTTCAGTTTCCAAACACATTCAAACTTTGGAAGTCACCAACCTTTGGGACTCATTTTCTTGTTGATTTTACACTTGACATCAGACGACCGCCTACTCCTTAAATCTCAAATATCTTGATTTCCCTCAGACAGACGGGCATCTTTTTATCAAAAGCAAATACGAACAAGTTTTAAGATTCTACCAATAACTCTATATGCTGAACAATTGACGAGTGCCTGATTCTTCCGCGTCGTGACACTTTAGAATTTTACAAAACAATACATTACCATATCAAACAGTGCTCTACAATGAAATAAAATACTATGCAATGCCACACAATACTAAACACTGCTATGTAATACACTTCAACACAATGAAATAATGCAATAGACAGGAGTCGAACAATAAACAAAAAACAAAACTAAAAGAAATACTTAAAATAAAATGGAACAAAACAGAAAGAAATAAAGTGAAGTGAAATGATTAATTTAAAAGAATGAAAAACAATGACTTAAAAGAAAATAAGTAACACTTTTTCGAAATCTCTAGCGGGAAA